ATCTGATGTTTCCTTTGTTGGGAGATTTTGAAACTATACACTTAATGCTTTTCGTGGCTGAAGAATTATTTAGGCTATCTTTTTCGGTTTTGTGAGTCTATTTAACTTTGTGTTCAACTTTATTGTCCACACTACCCCTTCTTATATTTTAATCCCTGCTGTTGCTATATTTCTATTCTCTTTTTGATTTATTCTTTACATCAACATTGCAAGATGTTTCACATAAAATTGCCTCTAGTATTTTTCTATTTCATCAATGTCTCTATTTCTTTCCATCTAGTATGCAGATTTATTCTGCTATTCATTTCCTCACATCTTTATTTTGATACTTAGGTTAAAACCCACTCCTGAGGGCTTCTGAGACTGTAACTCTTTACGAGACTATACAGCGCCATCTTTCTCCCACAGGGCAGCTGGTGGTTTCCAACTTCTGACCTTGTGATGAGTAGCCCAAAGAATAATCCTCCATGCCACCAGGGTCCCCATGAACCAGAATCATCTAGTTGGCAGCACATAAATTTGGTTTGGGTTCGTTATTATTCTGTCTCTTTTAAGTACCCAGCGCTGTAAGCACTGGATTGCTGACCCAGTGGAGAGAAAGATGAGGCTCACTGCCCCGGTTGCTACACATCAGAATCTACTTAATGGTAATGGGTTTGGTTTTGACTTACATACTTAAGGCTATAAATTTCCCTCGAAGGACTAACTTGCCTGCATTCCCAGAGGTTTTTGTATGCAGCATGTCTGCTATAATTTCGTTACAAGTATTTTCTCATTTTCTTTCATCTTTCAATTAGTAATTATTTTAAAGCATTTCCTAATTTCCAAACAAAGGGCTTTTGTATCTTATTTATTTATTTATTACATACTCCAAAGTGTGTGGTCCATGATCATGATCTGTTTCGAATCATCTGAATTTGTTGAGATGTGGTTCGTGGAGCAAGCACTGTTGTTTTGCACACTTACCCTGTGCGTGCTTGGAAGATCAAACAATTAAAAAGGTGTCTTTTGCAGTTGCGTCCCAGTATATCAACTAATAATGATTATTACTTGTGTTTCTATCTTTTATATTTTCATGGATTCCTTTATCTATCTTCTTGGTTTAAATCTTCTGAAGAAAGAGGAATAAGAAATGTGCCACTATGATGGTGTATGTATCAATTATCCCTTGCGTTCTGCCCGTTTTTGTTTCATGCATTTTGTGATGGTCCTGCTAGAACAATACAGGCCGAGAGTTGAGTCTCTCTTTAAATTCATAGGTCAGGACTCTATCTCTAGTGCTTTTTTTATTCTTTTAACTTTAAAGCTTCTTTTCCTTCATCTACTACCTCAGCTTTCTTCTGGCCTTTTTCTAATACATCTTCTTTGTTTTTTCATTTTGATGCTTTCAAACTTTCTGCTTTGTTATGTTTGATATAAATTCTGTATGTGGCTGGATTTTTTAAATTTTAGTCTGACAATCTATATCTTAACTGGACTATTTTGACCATAGAAAATATACACATCATTTCTATTCTTTAACTGTCTTCTAAAATACCCTAGAAATGTAAATATGCATACTTAGTGATAGCTAACATTAAATAATAATTTTATGTTTGTCCTGAAAAGTCAGGGATCTTAGAGTACTGTTACTGTCATTTCCCCATCCAACTCACACAGAAAGAGATTTCCTCTGACATTGCTTTTCTCAAAAGGCATCAGGCTTCATAAAAAGAACGTCCACTTAGATTTCCTCAGTCATTGGCCATGTCCTTAGTCACCATTCCTTCTTGCATATAAGCCCTTCTTTCTGGAATCACAGCTCCTTATTTTTTAGAAATTCTCTGTGGGTTGATGGCCAACTTCTTTAGGTGTTTGTTTGTGTTAAAATGTCTTTAGTCATCCTTGTTCTCGAAGGAACACTGTCCTTGATTCTTCTCCAGATGTTCACTTCTTGATTGATAATAATTTCTCTCTGCATATGGAGATATTATTATACCAGCTCCCACATCCCGCTGTTGCTGCCAGCTTGCTTCCATTTCCTTGCACGATAACCTCCCAGATGCTTTCATGGTCTTGCCCTTGTCTTTGGTGTTCCGCAGTTTCACGGACTTGCGTCTAGGTGTGGATATGTCTATATTTGGCCTATTTAAGATCCACTGAGCTTTCTGGATGTATGAATTGTGCCTGGTATCAGTTCAAGAGAACATTTAGCCATTATCTTTTCAACTGGAAGAGATTTCCTCTCGTTTCTATGTCTGGAAGTCTGACAAAGACATGGTAATCTTTCTCATTCTACAGCCCAGATCTCTTAATGTCATTCATACTTTCTTCTCTCTCTCACGGTCACGATTTCTCTGTTCAACTCATCAAATCTCTGTTAAATTAATTCAGTGAAGCTTATTTTTATTTCCATAGACATATGGAGATACATATTCATTCTATGACGTCCTAGTTGGTTCTTTTTCAAATGTTCTTGGTCATGTATTATAGTGTCCTCTTCCCAAGACCTCTTTGCACTGAATTCTCAATGTAAAGGCGTTCAACCACCCAAGCACTACAGTCACAGTGCTTGGGGTTCTGAGTGTTACATACTGTGTTTTTCTAACTTGTAGAATATTTTTTTTTAATCTAGCATTTTGAAATTGTTTGTTCACAGTACCTAGGGCACCACAGTGCCAGAAATATAGGAAATAGATTTCCTCTGAAAAACATTTTGCAA